GCTAATTGATTTCGGGGCTAATCAATTCGATGGACTTTGTTTTGTGGAGCATCAATTTGTTTGATCATTATTTGGTGGGTTAATTTGGTTCGCTATTTTGGATCTTCTTCAACTTTGTTTCGAAGATTTTGGTTCATCTATTTGGTGAGGTCTTTCATCTTGTTTATTTGTGATTATTTGGAATTCACCTAAGGGTGATTTTGTGAGACCATTTGTGTCTCGTTTGTGATCGTTTGGAAACTTATTTGATTGATAATGGAATCAGATTTTGATCCCGTGGACATACCTCACATTGAGGGAACCACGTAAAATTCTTGTGTTGTATTTTATTTAAGTTTTCCGCATTAATTTTTATTCCCATTGATTGATTTACTTGTAGAAAATCATATATTTTTCCTAACAACTTCATCCTTACCCATCTTGGAAGTGTCTAACAAAAACATTGTTGGAAATGGTTATAAAATTCTGGGTAAAACCAAAATTTTTTCCCAAGTTTGGTCTATTTTTTTAGGTGGGCCCTGTGCGTCGATTTTCACGGGTCAAAGTGGTAACGCGTTCTATGCCGCGTTGTGATTCACGTGGTATATTTGGTTGCTCAAAACCATTACCGAGTGAATGGGAAATTGAAGCCAAAGTACGCTCCATGGAAATGGAGTTGTGGTGAAAAATCCTTAAAGGTATTGAATAGGGCTTGTCCCACATTGATTTGATGGGAAGTTTTGAATGGGTTTATAAGGCATGGGTTTGGTACTTGGGGTGTGCCCCAAGGGGTACCCAAGTGTTTTAGAGGGAGAGGTTATGGGCAAAATGGGCTAGACCCATTGGACCCAAAAATCCACCACACACGCGCGCGCGCCGCCGCTGTACGTCCGGTCAGGCTGGGCTGAGCTGGGGCTGGGCTTGGGCGTTGGTGCGTGGTTGGATTGGGCTTGTTTGGCCCAATACTAATCTTTTTGGGCCAAAAATATTTGAATTTAATTTTATTTTTGGTAAAATAAAATCCAAAATTCAAATTAAACCAGAAATAAACTGGTCCGGTTTTACTGTACATCCAAACAGGGCCCTTCCCGTTTTTTATCTGTTTGAATTATAAATCCAACAGATTCAAATCTGTTTGAATTCAAAACCAACAAGTTCATACCTGTTTAATTCAAAATCTGCAACCACCATTACATCTATAAATAGGACAACCCTCATTTGATATTTGTGATTCCGAAAATTCATTATTTTCGTCCTTAAGAGCTCTGCAAATTCATTCTTCATTTTGTTGTATTATTTTCTTGTAAGAAAGAGTGTAAACACTTAGTGTGTTCGTAAGACAAACAATTTGTAGTGCTACTATTATTTGTAGTAGATCATTTTATCCTAGGAAATAGATGTCCAAAATCTGAAAGCACCGAGGAGATAACGAATCTGTCTTAAGGACACAGTGTCAAACACTGGACATGATCAGATAATTATTCAAAAAAATTAATCAAGTAAGTTGTTTAATTTATTATTCTGTTTTATTTATTTATTTAAATCAGATTTTAATTTTGTTTTTGTAACAAAATAAAATCTGTTTTTATTTATTTTGTTTTATTTCTAGTTTGATTTTTGTAATCAAACAATTTCTCTCATTTCCTTTATTTCTTTATATTCTAGTTGTTGTTTAGTACACAACAGAATTTAATCTACTTAAATACAATGAAGATTGTCCAACAATCTTAAGACAGACTATTTTTGGTATCTTCATTATATTTAATTTCCTGTGATTTCATAAGACATATTCTGGTTGGAAAAACAAATAGTAGTTTATGCTATTTGATAGATAGTAGTAATATACTGTCTCTTTTCTTTGACAACTAGTAGTAATATACTAGTGTCATTAACAATTGCAGAATATTAATTTGTGTTACAGAAAATTATTGTGATATTTTATTTTTCTAGTTTTAGTAACAAGGAAAATAAAATTATTTTTTGTTATAATTTATTTTTTGGTTTTAGTAACTAGAAAATTAATTTGTATTTTAATTTTTTCTGATTTTTGTAATCAGAGATTATGGCTACTGCAACTGAAATTGTATTTGGTAGTGGTACTCCTATTGTTACACCAACACCGGTCCCTATCCAGAACCATGTTTATGTACCAATCAATCATGGAGAAAAACAGGAAAAATTTAACGGTATCGAGTTTAAGAGATGGCAGCAGAAGATGTTGTTCTATCTTACAACTCTTAATTTGGCCCAGTTTCTCCATGAAGATGCTCCAGCACTTAAAGAGGGTGAAAGTGATCGGCAAGTTGTTGCCGCTGTAGATGTTTGGAAACATTCAGATTTCCTGTGCAGAAACTACATCCTAAATGGCCTTGACAATATGCTGTATAATGTATACAGTCCTCTGAAAACAGCAAAAGAATTGTGGGATTCTTTGGAGAAGAAATACAAGACAGAAGATGCCGGCACGAAGAAATTTGTTGTCAGTAAATTTCTGGACTTTGTTATGGTAGACTCCCAAACGGTAATATCTCAAGTTCAAAGTTTTCAGATAATTTTGCATGATATTCGTTCAGAAGGTATGTCTCTTAGCGAGTCTTTCCAAGTCGCTACTTTAGTGGAAAAGTTACCACCGGCTTGGAAAGATTTCAACATAAACGCAAAGAAATGACCATGGATGAACTTATTGTAAGATTGAGAATTGAGGAAGATAACCGAAAGGCTGAAAAGAGGAATGGCAAAAATCCCATTGAGTCCAAGACTAATGTGGTTGAACAAGTTCATAAACCACATAACAAAAAGAGAATGTTTACTGGAGATGGCCCTAAACAAGGCGACAACAATGGCAACAACAAGTTCAAAGGAAAATGCTATAACTGTGGCAAGACTGGACATCGAGCTTCTGACTGCCGTTGCCCTAAGAAGGATCATGGAAGTACAAGCAAGAAGACCACCAATCAAGCCAATGTAACTGAATTAGATTACATCTCTGACGAAGTGAATGACATCAACCTCTCTGCTGTGGTGTCTGAGGCTAACTTGGTTGGAAATCCCAAAGAGTGGTGGGTTGATACTGGAGCAACTCGTCACATATGTGCGGACAAGAAGATGTTCACTACCTACAATGAGGCTGCAAATGGTGAACAACTTTTTATGGGAAATTCTTCTACTTCTACTGTGGCTGGACAAGGGAAAGTGATCTTGAAGATGACATCAGGAAAAGAACTGACCCTCAACAACGTACTACATGTACCTCCGGAAGAATTTAATTTCTGGTTCTTTTTTAAGTAAAAATGGTTTTAGGCTTGTCTTTGAGTCTAATAAATTTGTATTAACAAAGAGTGGCATGTATGTTGGTAAGGGATACATGAGTGATGGTCTCTTTAAGTTGAATGTAATGACAGTTGGGTGCCAAGTGTGGCTGATCTGGGTCCGATTCTTGCTGTGGCGGAGAAGGGGTGGATTGGTTTGCTGAATAGGGCTTTGGTGGGGAAAGTGGGTGTGGTGAGGGCTAAGGGAAATGGGTTCTTCATTATGACAGAGTGGGTTGGTCGATGGTGGAGTTCTTCGAGGAAGGTGGAGATCTGACCAGTTGGGGGTCAAGATTTTCTCTTTGTATTCCCCTCACGGCAGGCGACCGAGAATATTGTGCGGCGTCGGTAGGTCGTCGATGGTCGAGACCTGAATCTACGATGGTGGTCACTGACAATCCTGTGTGACAAGAGGAAGTCGGTGTTGATGGGAATGTCAGTGTGGGTGATGGTGGTGGGTCTACCAATTCATCTTCGTGGGTTGGAAACTTATAGGGCCATCGGTGACCAGTGTGAGGGTTTTGTCGAGGTCAATAAGCTTTCGGCGGATCTCCGAGTGGTACGACTGCGAGTTCGGTGTTAGGGCAACATTCCAACCAAGATAGTGCTCTGTTGGGAAGCTTGGTAGTCTATGGTTCCTTTGTGGCCAGAAGTTGGGTCAACGTTTGACGCAGTGTCGCCGATGGTGGAGGTTCGAGCTGGACTTTGAATGGGAAAGGAAAGTCAGTGGGGAAGGCATGACGAACGGCACAATCTGGGGAATAGAGGATTTGGTGCAGTTGATGGCAGATTTGGGGGGTTATTTGGTAGGGTATGGGAATCAGGGTAGACCGAAGCTATTTGGGCAGGGGGAGTGGGTTTTGGGTGAGTTACATTTGGGCCCAAATCAAAACAAGGTGGACAGTAGTGGGGGAATGGGCCAAATCACTCCTGTGGAGGCCAGGTTTCTTCGTGGGCCGCAAAGCAAGGGCCCAAGCACTCTAGGCCCATCAACTAAAGTCAACGGCCTATCCAGCCCACAGTTGAATCTAGGACCTTGTTCTAACTCGTCGATTGCTCAAGTTTTTGGATCCTTGCGTGATGGTGTTGGATCGCAATGGCAAATCAATGGCACTGGTGGTCTTCTAGGTGGAGGTATGGTGTCTCGATCGTCGCTGAAGGAGCATCGTTTGCCTACTAGGAATCTCGTTGGTGTGCAGTTGGCGATGAAGGATAGGGTAGTACAGCTTCCATCCAACGAACAGATGGCTGACAAGCTCGATAAGGGGGGTAGCGCACGCGTCGTCGTCAACGCCCCGGTCTCCCCTGGACCAGTTAGTGGCGGAGGACCTGTTGTCGGGTGGTTTGATGAATAGACAGATGGAGGCAGTGGGGCATGATTCGATCAGTACATTGTTAGGTGGGGATATTGTTGGGGACGAGTTGCCTATTTCAGGGGAGAAGGCGAGGCCTAAGGTACTGATGGCGATGCGATGGGAGACTATGGGTAATGAATTGGCTTTGGTGGTACGACCGGAGGTGATTTTAAAATTCTACCCCTATTGGTTGCAATTTGAGCTTGGTCTACTGATCTATAAGATCTTTCCAGATCAGCAAGAAAAAGATGAATGCAAGCAATAAAGTTTATCCCATACCAAAATTTAATTGTCAATTGTGATTCCCCTCTTGTTAGGCAATAAAAGTTAAGAAACCCCCCTTGTTAGGCAATAGAAGTTAAGAAACTATAAAATTTGTCCACTTTCCTAAAAATTGGTTTCCATCAAGCCTAACTCTGTATAAGCTATGGCAATTTTTCAAACTTTTTGGGATGGGACCAATGAAATTGTTGTTGTTTGCACTCAATGCAAGTAATCCACCTTCAAAGCATAAGTGTCCTGGCAAATGACCGGTAAGTTTGTTGTAACCTATATGGAAAATTTTCAAATATGTAAGACCAGTGAGGTGGTTGCTGGTCAACCCAAGAAACTCATGGAATTTCAACTTTCCTATCTCTGAAGGAATGTAGCCAGATAATTGATTTACGACTAAATCTAACGCACTGAGCTTGGTCAAGTTTCCAATAGTCGAAGGAATCCATTCTGAGAATGTGTTTGCCTGGAGGTGCAAAATGTTTAAGTTATACAAGTCTCCTATAGATGTAGGGATTGACCCAATAAGATTGTTTGCTGACAAATCAAGTTCAATGAGAGACCTTAGTTTCCCAATTGCATTAGGAATTGTTCCTGAAAGTTGATTGTCATAAAGGTATAGAATTGCTAAGTTGCCCAAGTTCCCTATAGAAGGAGGGATTGAACCCATAAAATTGTTAGAATACAAAGCAAGCTTACTGAGAGACATTAACAACCCAACTTCACGAGGGATTGATCCAAAAAGATGGTTTTCAAAAAGGGTTAGGGTGGATAAACTGCTCAAGTTTCCTATAGAAGCAGGGATTAAACCCATAAGATTGTTAGATCACAGAATGAGCTCATTGAGTGACCTTAATAACCCAACGTCTTGAGGGATTGATCCAGAAAGCTGGTTTTCATAAAGGGTCAAGATCGTTAAGTTGTCCATGCTCCCTATAGAAGTAGGAATAGAACCTGTGAGATTGTTAGTGTGACACCCCTGTTCTGTATTATGCTAATTGGTCCCAAATGCCAATGTGATTATATGTTTTGATATGATTTTGTGTGCCATTATGCGAATATATATGATTTTGAAGTTTTATCTGTTCATCGTAGGAAT